GGGGGGGGGGCGGGAGAGAGAACAAAAAAAATTCTGGCCTGGGTTGTTCGAAAGATGGATAAAGCTATCCACCGGATAAATCGCTATTCATCGGATAACATGCTTTGTCTTGTTGACACACGAAAGCTATTTACACGCAGTGGATAGCGTTATATATATCCAGCCTTCGAACCACTGAGGCCTGGTTATGTTCTGTTACTTATTATTATTCACAAGTAAACTGGGAATGGATTCATGACAGCTTCCGCAAGGCCTGTCTTAATGTCTCGAGACCTAAGATAAAATCGTTCCTACTTTATATACAGAGAGGATTCCCGTGAAATGCTTGGATGGCTACCCTCCTGTTATTTCCAGATTCTTCTGTTATATTACTCCTGCGCCAAAGCACAATGTTGTGCCCGGGTTTGAACCTCTGGAACCAGTTGTTGCTGGCTCTGAATTTCTCAACTTCCCGTTTGTCGTTGCAGGTTCTAATTTTCGGTTCCATTGTTTTCCTAAACCATATCTTTGGGACTTTGCTTCCCGTTGCTCTTCACAGCTTGAACTTAGCAACTAGGTGGTTAGCGACTAAAGGATACTTTTTGTCATGCTTTGATTTCCACCAATCATTTTCTCTTATTGTCTTGCAGCCCTAGCACTACCCGTGTTTTTGTTATGCTTGTTGGGGGCCATTTCTTCTAAAAATTTTGCATCTGTTTTTGTTCCATTTTACTACCAAACACTTGTTCACGCCTCTTCCATTTGCAACTTTGCCGTGTTTGTCTTTGGATGTGCTGAGAGAGTCTAAAAGCACAAGGGTTTGCTTCTTTGCAATTAATTGCGATTACCTTCCGATCAGAAACCGGCATCGTTATAGCCAGCAGCCTCTGTTGTTCTCGATACGCCATCTTGGTACCTTGCAGAGGCAATTTCAAGTTTGGATTCATTATCTGTTGTATTGAAGCTTACACCTCAAATAGCAATGGCGACACCGAGTCGAATGTCAGTGGACTTCATGCAGACTTCAAGGATGTAACAGTTCACATTGGGGAGGGTCTGGCTGTGGAAGGTTAGTGAATAAAAAATACTGTAGGACGTGTACCCATCGAACTATCTTTTAAGATAGTTGAACACCTAAAAGTGTTCAACTGCCTTCCTTGCTTACTACGTCGCCACTGAAGCTGAACAGAGGAGGGGTAAAGGCTTGAAAATTCCAGAGGACTGTAAATTTACTAGACTTGCCCACTACCTGAATGGGTTGTTGGGGAAGCTGAGAAAAAGAGTCTGCCCAGGAAATTAATTTCAATGATAAAATGAAGTGCTAGGCCAGCCACTGGAAATACATTTGTACTTCAATAGACTCAGGGAGTAACGTAACAGTGCTAGGACTGTTTAAATCGATAAACCCAAATATTAGAGAACACGTACACGTAAGCAATTTGTACCTGTAATGCAGCTTCCCTTGGAACAACCCGGCTGTTTTCTCGGTGACAATTGGTCCCAATTAACATTCTCACAAAACCTGGATCTGCATGCTGAATAAAATGAGACACGCTAGTGTTAGTTAACAAAGAAACTAATCCGAACCAAGAGTCCAAATTATTTTATTACTGCATGAGTTATGAGTGTGGACACTTATTCCAGGAGGTAAGTGCTGATGTGTTGGTTGGGGGTACCTGAGGAATTGTTGCCCAAGGCCAAGAACGAAAATGGCTCAATGCCCCGACAAGCAGAATGCAAAGAAAACCAGCTTTCTAGCTTGTCCTTTGGGAAAGCTATAACTATGATGACTAGCCCAAAGTCATGCTCACTAGCTCCCAAGAAACGTCTTTCTAAGAGAACTCCTGCAATTACAATTTCCTGAAAATTTTTCTCAAGAAACTACATTCATCCATTGGCTGGGCAGGTAAAACACAGAATCCACTAGCTCCAGGCTACTTGACAGGACTTTCTTTGCACGCGGAACAAGGTCCTAGTTCACTGTGTTATTTTTCCTGTTCCAAACCCCCATGGACGAGTGGACGAGTTCTCATATGGGGGAAGCAGGGATAAAGCGTTGGTGAGAGCACTCGCCTTACGTCAATGTGGCTCAAGTTCAATTCCGGCCCTGTGCCATATGTGGGTCGAGTATGTTGTTGGTTCCCACCTTGTCCCGAGGGATTTTCTATAAGTGTGCACAAAGGGTCCATGGGAAATGAAGACCATTGATCAGTTTCGGGTTCCTTGCAGTGTCATCAAACGATTCTTGGGGATGGTGGGGATGGGGATAGTGAACCAGTTGGGGGAAATTCACTCTTCTCAACGTGCCCTTGCGTCAGCTGCTCTACCAGGAAACCAGGCGGTACTGGGAAAAAGCTCAACAGAATGCCGTTCAACAACTAGAAGAGATCTTCATGTCATCTGAATTTCTTGCTCATAATGTCATAATGACCCCAGCCGCACCTCAATCAACCGGACTCGACTGCTACATCTCCAGATCTCTAAGTGATTCCGAAGAGAACTATTTTGTAACTGAGAAAGAAGCACTCTTCTCAACCTTGGCGTCCGAACAAGGAAAAGAGTACATTCTGAGGCTCAGGTTCACCTTAGAAACAGACCAAAATCACTTGGACCACTTCTGACTACAACTGACCTGTCAAAGTTGCTACCTCGGATACTGGAGTTCTGTCTTCAGATGACGAGATACAGTCCAGAAGACATACACGTCCCAGGGAAACGTCAAACATCGGCTGACGCACTTTTGCGCACTCGCATATTTGCGCCTAACGAATTGCTGAAGAAGTTGAAAGCTTTACATGTAACTGAACCAATAATCTTCCTCCAAGTGAGAAACGCTTCCCAGAGATCAAAAGAGCCCGAAAGGGTGACAAGGAATGCGTTCAAGTCAGAAGATACTGGCCCAGGATGGCCTGGACTTTATACAGTTATTGAACACCAAGGAACAGCAAGAGGTCCAGAAACCCCTGACGCTTTCCTCCTTTCCAACATGCCAATGGTAGGGAGTAGGCACGTATCTATTGGAGTATGATGGACAAATTTATTGCATAGCAGTGGATTAATACTCAACATGAGCAGATTTAAACGTTTCCACAACCCAAAGGCGGAGACTGCCGTCACAACTTAAATCGTTAAGAGTTATTTGTAACAGAGAAAGAATGCCGTGACAACTTGTAAAGAATTATTTGTAACTAATGGAATCCAACATGTTGTGGTATCAGTGGTATCAGACAACTGCATGACCACAGTTTAATGCTCTATCCTTTCAGATGTTTGCAGGCAGTTATGGATTCGCCCACACAATA